TACCAAGCTGCAAGATACCACCTGTATGCTCACCAGCCCGCGACGACGACAGTGCCTGATGCTCGTATTGCTTCATTTGCTAAGTAAAATATGAAGCGAAGGGATATGAAGCGGCCGCGGTGCTGCATGGATATATGAGTACATACGTGCAGCCGTATCTACCGTAGCGGTTATTGGCAAGATGCCTACGGGAAACTCGTCCGAAATTGCTTTCTGAGTCATTAAGAACGAAGGCTTTTCTTCGCAGGTTTTTGACCGTTTCACTTCATCTTTTCGCTATTTCCTCACTACTCAGTACTCTGTAGCATTTTAGAGCTAGTGCCAATTTCCTGCAATATGCTTTGACTGGAATATTTCCCTTCTCAATCCATACTTTTCAGAAAGGTGAAGGCCCTCAAAAAATCCAAAGACGGGCCATCAACGTCGCAAATATCCCACATGGAAGACGACTCAGAAGAGGGTTCAGATGAAGGCTATGAGGATGACAGCGGTGAAGGAGAGGATATGGAAGAATAGATTTGTTATCGTTGTTGTCTGTTGATTGTTATGTTGTTAGTGGTTGTTTTCTGAATTACATCTCCAGATTTATTAAATGAAATACATTACACCCATAGAATTTATGCTTTTGACTTTTGAAGATAGTGATACGATGGTAGTAATCTCCGCAGTACTTCAAGTTGACCTTGGGGAACCTGAAAACGTAGGAATTAAGAGCGCAACTCATGCTGATCATGTAAGGGGGACAGCTAACAGGCCCATTTTCACTGGAGCGCCACTCATTCGCGAGCAGAGGAGAGGAGCAGCGCAGCGCACCAATGAACAGGAATGAGCTGCTGTCCCCGCCCACATGGTCCACGTGGAATGTGCCTGTAAATGTTGGTCAGTTATTATGGTAGCTTTAGAAAAATCTGAACATACAGGCGGATTATCATTGGCTACTCGACGTTCGTTCCATTTCCCATAGATGACCGTTCGTTCAGGAAGAGTTTCCTTGGCAAGTAGTTTACATCGTACTCCAACAGAACAACCATTGCTAACACAACTGTGTGGACCGACTTCACACTGGACGTGCAGTACGTTGTTGTTGCCGATTCGTGGAGCATAAATCGCTGAAAATGGTTGCTTTTAGCTCTCAAGCTAACTGGGCGCAGTTCGGCTTGGGGAGAGGGTGCATTAGCCGTTCCCATCGATCACTGCCCATGCCCCGAGTGGAGACCTAAAAAACCCGTAGAGCTATTCAGAAGCACGAGCTTTGTCTACACGTGACAAGAGCCCACAGGTCTCCCAAGGTGAGACTCGTAATTCAACACGTACTAGCAAAAGAAAGCGAAGGTGCTAAATGCCCACCACAAGCCGAACAGCGCCAAGAATGTAAAACGCCAAAGTGTGGTAAGAAAGGCATTGACTCTATTTTTATTCTGATCAATGGGCTTTTCGTATACTTGTCGTAGTACCAGAAAAACCGGGCACGAACCTGCTCCAACTTCGACAATATTTTGGTCTCCGATTTCCATTACTTTGTCGCCTTCCTCCAGTCTGAAAACAAAGTTAGCTTGACCACATGCTATTTGAACAGTTGTTTCAGGACCCAAAACGCATTCGAAGAACTAAGGATCACCGCCAAGCATGAACAAAAACCTTTCCTAATCCTTAGCCCAAAGCGGATAGAGCTTCTTCGGTATTTATTTTCGTGTATAGTATCCCAGTCCTATCAGTTGACACCACACTTGCGCGACAGGATCTTTTAAACTGCCTCCTGCAGTATTAGCGCTTATATAGTCTCTTCAGGCCATGTTCATTGTTACAGACGCCACGGCTGTTATGCCGTGCTCATACACATCGTAATCTACGACAAACATAATATATTCCTTTATGCCTCGATTGTTTCACTTATGTGAATGCATTATACGGCTGCCAATAACACAATAAAGTGAAATTTCTCACATTGTGGCGCATCCCTTATATAGTCTACGCAGGACGCAAAAGCGGCAGATAAACTTTCTCGATATTCGGGAATGAAGAATGGAGTCTTCGCCGTGGGTCAATTCCTTTTTGGGATGCGGCACGCATTGTACTTCCACACAGAATCGTAGCAATTGTTGTATGCTATGTCGCGCATAGAATGACCTGCGAGGGACGTCGATTAGCAATTCAAAGTTCTTATCTCCCAGAATCTGGTACCGATTAGGCCCGCTCCGGTTCGTCGGGCGGGATGGGACTTCGGATTCGATCCCCATGATAGCGCGCTGTTAATGCGTGGATTTTATAGGCTATTTACTACAGTCGCCTCGCCCGCTGACAGCGGCGTGGCTCTTTAATACGGCCGGCTAACGCGGGCGGGTGCGGCTTCGGCCGCACGGTGCTTTCTTCTTTCACATATTTCTAGATTCAACTGATATCCCCTTTTGTTCTGTACTCCATTTTTTCCGGTGTCTGAAGTACTCTTGAGCTATTTTACAGATTCTTCGTCTGACTCCGCCCACCTCGGAGCAGCCCCGCCCACAATGTTTGTGCCCCACAATTCTCACCGGCGACCCTCCGCTGACCTAATCCACGTTTTCTTTTCGGTCTTTGAAGTGCTCTGGGACAGTTTTAGAGAACTTTCGCCTGGTTCCGCCCACCACGCAGCAGGCTCCTCTCACAATGTTTTGCCCCACAATCCTCACCGGCGACCCATGCTGACCTTCACTTTATTCCGGTCTTCGGAGTTATCTGGAACCGTTTCACAGTTTTTCGTCTGACTCCGCCCACCTCGGGCTGGCTCCGCCCCCCATTTTGTGCCCAACATTCCTCACCGACGACCCTCTGCTGACCTTAGTCCACTTTTTTCCGGTCTTCGGAGTGCTCTGGGACCGTTTTACAGACCTTTTTGTCTGGCTCCGCCCACCTCGGAGCAGGCTCCCACAATGTTTTTGCCCATCCTCAACCACCGACCGGTGGACCCTCTGCTGACGCTTAGACCATTTTTTTTCCGGTGGTCAGGCTGATGTCTGGAACCGAGCTACAAACTTTTGAAATGATTACCCTGCGATTAAGGGCAAGCTCCGCCCACTGTGGGCGGGTCTCAACACACTTTGAGCGTGCCCTATATTCGCCAGATATTTACATTCTACACTGAGTTTTTTGCGACTTCCAAACACTCTCGCGAACAGGGTTACTGAATTTTGAGAAGCACCGCCCACCATGAGTACGCCCCGCCCATTTTGGACGTGTCTTCCACAGTTAGTCTGGCGACTCCTTACTAACCTTAATCCCTTTTTTCCCATCTTTACGCTGCTTCCGAAGCGAATTATGATTACTTTTCTGCGGAGCCCCAAACTTTCGGCGAGTGCCCCGCCCACTGTGGGCGGGGCTTCCCATAGGTCAAGTGTGCTTTTTATTTCTTGCCCGCATGCCCTTAATACCGCATTTCCCGCCTTGACCCCGACCTTCATCCAAGTATTCTGTCAGTCGTAGACCGAATTTCGGCGGACAGACCAAACTTACAAACAACAAACAAACAAAACAACAACAACAAGAACTAGACAAGGTATTGTATCTAGTATGGGTGCTGATTTCTCCCGAGTGCATTTCTGGATTACACATTCCGTGAGTGCACTCCAGTGTAGAGCGATCAATCCCTACTTAAAATTCGTCAATCTGCCTCATGGTGCGAACGCAGCGCTACGTTGAAGACACACTCCGTGATACCGGATGGGCGGAGATCCACGACCATTACCTCTGCCTTAATGGCCCGTCCCTATTCTTCATCGTATTGCTGGAGAGGAGCAAACTAAAGAGGAAGGAGTCATCGTTGTCAACTTCCGCCCGTTTTTCCTTCACTATCGCGCAATGTGCTTTCTCTCGGAAACCGTCTTCTTAGTGTGGCGCTATATGTCTTGGGAGAGATCACTCTCTAGCGGGTCAAAGCCGAACCATGTTCTGACACGACAAAGCCCTTATACTCGGGAAAAGGGTCCAGACATGACGCAGCGCCTGCTGCTCGCAGTTATTCCGTCACAGTTCATCCAAAGCGAGCGAAGAACTATGTGGTTTTGTACGGCATATACTCTAATTCGCTGCGGACGAGAGGACATGTCAGGCAGTATGTGGGTGCCATGACGCCAAATCCGTTTCTCTGCCAGTTGTTGAAGCACATATGCGACCATAATTGGTAGAAAAGTAGTGATACGAACGATATGATGCAGCCTTGTAACTTGTTCGCTTCAACAACCCGTGGAGAATGGGTTTGGCACAGGGCCAAACCCTTCATCCCGCCTGACACGCCCCTGCGCCTCTTCGTCCGCAGCATCATACTTATCAAATGATATCGGCATCGCGATGACCGTGTTCTTGATCCGATCGCCAAAAGTGTTCGTTTTTTGTCGGAATCCCAAGTGGATATGTTACCAAAGTAAACATTACAAGATAAACTCACACATTCTCAATAAGACATCGATCCTCAATTATATTGTTTTCTCCAATAATAATCGGTCCATTAGTGGCTTTAATAACTGCGAATGGATGAACTACGGTGCCAGCTCCTATGCGTACACGTCCTTCAAGAGTCGCTTCGCGACATACAATCGCTGTTGGATGAATCTCGATGCTGAAATGACCTCTTCTCAAATTCAATCATCTAAAAAAACGGAGAAATGAAAGGAAAAGACTGATAGGAGCGCATTTATTTATCTCGCGATCGAATCACTTACCTCGCGATCGAATCACTTCACTTCGACCAACCCGATCGCGAAGTATGAACGCGCTCTAAGGTTTTCTATAAGCATTGGCAGTCTGATAAAGAATATCTGAATCAGTTCAAGCAGAGTACAAGATCGATCTTACCTCTCTGGCAGAGTTTTCTCAACCATTGAGTTAAATTCGCCTTTGAACAGTAGCCTTAGGAATCTGCAAATCAGCGAACAACATTAACGGTTTTCTGAAAGTATCGTAAGAAACACAGGCGTCATGGCGGAACAAAGAGCGAACGCAAAATACAGAAATGAAGCGCGCAGTTGCGAAGCGGCTACCGTTCCCAGGATAGCAAAGTTCAGCGGCATTTGGTGCTGAAAGGCGCCATTAAACTTGTGATGAAAGGAGCATCAGAGTACTTGCCTTAACCTAAGGAGAAAAACAAAAACTCCAACGTCGATGAATCAAACTTTTCGTGCAAATAGTCGTGGTTTTACGTGCTGTGGGTGCTCTGTACAAAATACCCATTCCTATTTGAATAACGCTCAGTTAACTCAAAATAAACCAGCTGTTATACCTTCCCAAGCGAAGAAATATTCTCGTAATAATTATATAAATAAGACTTCCCTCATTGTTTTTGGACCTTTCTGGCCATAATTAGGTTTCCTCAGCATTATTTTTGCCGAAAGACGGGTCGCAATTAATGCGAAAGACGTTACTGGACGTGGAGAATGACAATCACTTCCAACATTGGATTGGGTGAAAAGCCCCAGGACCGTTCCCAGCAAGAGCGCAGAAGTTGAATTTGAAGAATCAAAAAATTTAACTTGACGTCGAAGCAGCTGCACAAAATGGCGGCCTTCTGTTTATACGTTTCTGAGTACTTCGTTGGCCAATAGAAAAAACAGTTGGTCGTGATTGATTGATTGGCGCGCAGGGGTTTTGTGTATTGACTTTTCTACTGTTTCAATATTTGGCGGTTATTTTTCCGTGAGGGTCGTTCGTTTTTGGATAGCCATTACCGACACGGACTTATTCGGACAATATTAACGGTGGACCGTTCAGATTTCGCTGAAGATGGCATGGTTGCGCGGGATTTCCATCACCGCCTTTCTGGCCGTTACCGTGAAGTGGTAAGGTTGAAAGTTAGTATAAAGTTTTCGCTTGGGAAAATTCATCATCATCTCACTGCTGGTCCTCCTTCTTTCCTGATGTTCTTCTAAGCAACCAAGCCTTTCCCACTTTCTTTTCACGTGCAGTAGCCAGAAATTTCGATGCTGAAAAATCAACGCTTTTGTCCGGAATTCTTTTCAAATTTCCGATTCTTGTAGGTGGTTTTTCTGTTCATCTATTTCGTGCACACTCTACGAGCTGCTTTTTGTCTGTAGTGGCATTCTAGAAGCTTTCTGAAAACGCAAACTTTCGAAGCCGGAAAGACGTCATTAAAGCTGCGTTCATAGTTTTCGTCGGGATCTCGAGCATTCCAAGCGAAAAGTGGTCGTAGTATCGCTTTAGCATTCTGAGCGTTTCTCCCGGAATGCTAAATCGACACCTTATCTTTCCTTTTCCCCCAAAACGCTGGCGAAAGGTATGAATGCAGCTTAGAACACATTTCACTGGAGCGCGACAAAGGCAGGACATGCTTTAGGTAGGAGAAATTGACGACATCTAACAAGAACAAGACGCACTCCGCTGGCGCAGGTGCCGCGTGATTACGCCAGGGAGAGGCAAAAAGGCCATTCCAAATGAGCATGAGAATTTTGATAGCACGCCGATTCAACTGGGTCTTTTGAACTATCTATAAAGCAGTTTAATGAGTTCAATGGCTTTCTATTTGCCGATGTTCGCGTGCCACAGTATGATTGGCTTGCGCTCGTTTACATACCCTTTTTTATGCTTGGTTGTATGCTCTCTTGATAGTTTATTGTTCCGATAATACGATTTTTCGGAGATATGGATTCGGTTTCCAGCAACATTTTGGATTTATCCTCAATGTGATCTTCTTTTTCAAGCTGTCGAGCTTTAGTAGTGGTATTATGTGCAAAACACTCCACTCGCATCCTTTCTTTCCTGTGGTGTGTATACCTGTGCCATTAGCAAGGCTGCATTCATACATGAAGAAATGACGAAACTGCGGATAGGAGAAAATATACGTATCGATTAGAATAACCGCGGTTGAGAGAAGTGCAGTATCTGCAGAAATCTCGATGTAGCTGGCAAAGACTTGATCGGATCGCTTCGCTTAGCCTCGCACTTGGAGGAAATGCCGATTCTGCGGATTTTCGGCATTTCTGCAGATTCGGTTTCTGCTTTAAAATCGATACGTCTACTTTCTTCTACGCGAAGTTTTCGCCATCTTTCTTGAATAGTTACCTAAACCTCCCTTTTCCGCGTATTCTGCATTTCTCCCAATTCTGCAGTTCTTCGAATCGATAAGTATTTTTTCCTACCCGCAATTCCGTCATTTCTTCAAGACCGTCGTGCGTGAATGTAGTCTAACAAACCTCGACATATTGATCTGTACCACTTTTTCTGCCGTTGATCATACAGCTTCTCAAGAAGTGCCAGAAACTCCTTTGTCCCTGCACGGTGTAGGTTCGTCCAATGCATTCTGTGCTTGAGAAGCATGAGGTTTTCTCAGGGTATTCACTTTGGACTTAATTCGGCTTTCTAATGGTGTTTCAAGAGCTTTCGTTCTGTAGGTTCATATAGATGCATCTATGGTAATTAGTTTCACTAGAGCTATAAAGCTAATTAGAGTTAGCGCGGATGTTGAAGAAACTCGATGGCCTCTTAGTTGAAGTATCTCCAGACGAAGCGAGGGTGTCGGAGAGACTCAACAGCCTTACAGCAGAAAAATTGCTAAGGAGTTGCCGTACTCGTTCAGCCCTCGCCTTCATCCTTAACACTGCTTCAGTTTCTGTTTTTTCCACGGCCCGGAGGTGTTAGTTTAGGTCCGTTCATTGATTTATGTATCATGTGGTTGACGTGGGAGGTGACAGAACCTCGGCTCTTCCCACGTTAACGAGGGTCATGCGATGTTGTGGTATGTTCCACAATCTAGCGTAACATTAACCTCCAGGTTTAGTCTTCCTGTGACCCTGGCGGTCTTTATGAGTGCAGAGCATTTCTCTCGCAGGGGAAAACTGTAAAATACGACCCCCCCCCCAAATTTCTTCTTCTGGTACGACTCCTCCCTTTAATCCTACCTACCACTCCATCATCTATCCGTTTTTCTCCAAAAATTGCAGTCAAGTTGAGAGAGGTAATGGGTGTTCACCGATTGACCAAAATCAACTAAAAGAGTAACGTCTTAACGATGTACATATAGCGTATCTGAAAGAGAACGAATCACAGTTCAAAAGAACTTCCCAAGCCAATCGAACCCCTTCACCTCCCTCTCCTTCCCAGCGAACAGGTGCAACTCCCTCGTGGAGTTCTGTCGACGATGCTGTACTTTTCACAACAATATTTTGGTCGTAGCGTATTTTCACCGAGGAGTCGTATTTGGTCCCTGGAAGGAGATAGGGCGTATTTGCTTCCAAGAAAAAAGTTCCCGCTCAATGACTTTTTTTTCAGCTTTTCACCGTTTCGTATACGCTTCAAACCCCCTCCTGTCCCATCATAGGTCTGGGGGAGAAAGTGAAGAACTTTGGGAAAAATAACTCTGAAAATGTTGTGGAAAGCTGGGAGAATTTAGAGAGACCGTGTTTAGGAGGGGGATAGGCGAGGAGGAGGGGAGGTCGTACTGAGCTGAAATTTTCCCCAACGGCAAATTTTGCCGTGAGGGCAATCAAGGGCTCATTAATAATGAGCCTCATAAGACAGAAGACATTATACTCACAAACAGTGTTTTAATGAAGTGCGAACCTAATTGCAGTGACGTAGAGAGGGAGCTAAGTGTCTGATTCCCAACTCACAGGACGTCGTTCCCCTGCCGAATTCGCGTGGGACTCGATAAACGAAAATATGGTAAATGCTGGCTATGTATTGGATTATGGCATGCAAGTTTTGAAGCTGGGTAAGCGGAGACCAGGCATCGGCGAGAACGAAATCTACTTGTCTGGGAAGGGAAGCGTAGACAAAGTGCATCCCCGGCAGAAGAATTGGTGAGCCGAGAGCTTTGTTAAAATGGGCAACGCCATCGCCCCGGCGGACGCAGTGCCGTCGTGCTCTCACGGACGACGGCGCCCATCGATCTCGGAGCGGCTCCGCTCCTCCCTTCGCTAGCTTTCGGCCTCTCCTATTCGACATCCATTTTACTCTCGCCGTGTTATTTCGACTCTATGGTGTCATCGATACATGCACTTTATGAACCGTCATTGGTTTAAAAACTACCGTGTTCTTTCGGTGGTGTCAAGCTGTATGTACTCTGTCGGCTATGTTTTACCCTCATATCCCTCGGTTTCACAGCCTTGTGATTTGAGAAACCCCTCAGACCAAGCTCCTTCGCATTCTGCCCAAGCATAAATTTTTCACTGCTCGTTCTTTCGTTTCTGGTTTTTGATTTGCTAGCTGAATTTTTCATTCATGACGTCTCATCTTTTAAGAAAACCTTTCGGCGCAGTTCGGCTTGGTGTGGGCATTCTGCTGTTTCCCATCGATCACTGCCGATACCTCCCGTGGAGACCTGTCAAATCCTGTAAAGTTATGCAATAGCACGAGTTGGCAAATTGCCATGTTGCATGTACATGCTTTGTACTGGTTCTTTGTCTCGGAAAACTATAACGAGAATTCTGTGAAGTTCCACCTCCTCCACCCCCCCCCCCGGCACAAACCACCTACCATCTTACAGAGATCTTACTCAATTCTGACGAAAGTTTCCCAAATTTTTGTCCTCAACTGAGGGAGGTGGGGGGTGGGGAGCAATCGAAATTCATCTATGTGAGCAGGCGTTACGTCTAAGTGCCTGCGAGGAATGCCGATAGGCGCTGAGGTGTTATTATGCAGCGGGGCGCCAGACTCAAGTATTTCTATTCTCTGACTCCCCAGCTAGCTGTCTAAAGACCCGAGAACGCTGTGATTGAGAGATGCTGTGCGTTCGACGTTTATGGGAGGGGGGGGGGAGTGGTGATATCGAAAGAGCGAAAATTTTTAGCGCTGTTTGGCGCAGTTCCGCAACGGGGGGCATTTTGCACTTTTGTTGCTTCACTATTCCGGTTTACAAGTCTCACTCTGG